TTTTTTTTTTTTTTTTTTTTTTTTTTGGTGCTGGGGATCGAACTCGGGCACTTGAGCTTGCGAGGCAGGCAGCAGAACCACTGAGCCAAATCCCTGGCCCTTAAAAGATCACTTTCTAGTGTGCTGAAGCTTCTGTTCCATGTTATTTTCCTGGCTGTGATACGGGTCCTTACCTGAGCTGCTCTGCCAGTCCCAGAAGCAACAGGGAGGAAAGCTAAGGGCCAGGTGAGCCCAGGATCTCAGCCTCGGCCTCCCGAGGGACTGGCCGGACACCGCCACTGAGCCACGAGGCACGGTCAGCCTCGTGCTGACCCAAGGGTTTCTGTGAGCCCGGGTGGCCCTGTCCTCTCCTTGGGGGATCCCAGCCCTGCCCGAGACCTGCCTCCCCACTCGGGAAATCTGATGGATTTCCAGCGCCATGAACGGAGGACTCGCTCTCTGACAAGTTCACCTTTTCTCCGTGCCCGCTGCTGCAGCGAAGCCGGCTGAGCTCTGCCGAGCTGAGTGCTGCGGGCGTCGCAGTCCACACCCCTCCGCTCTCTGCACGCAGCCACTCATCCCGGCAGCTGCCCGCAAAGCCACCAAGTTGATTTGCTGCTTTCGTACATGGCGAGTACCTTCGTGGCACTGTATTTTACAAACCGTGTTATCACTAAAGTTCTTGCAAGTCTTTTAAAATTCTCTTCAAAATCCTTGCAAAGAAGATTTATGCTCTTTCTGAAATAAGAGGACACGTGGCTATCTGTGTGTGCGTGGACTCATCTTCCTGGTTGGAACTCGCTATTCACTTCACACCCAGGCTGCTGAGGCTGGTGCAGTGGTGCACGGCCTGCGGCTTCCTCTCCAGTCTGCCGTGGGCCTTGGAGCTTGGCTTTTGCTGCAGGCTGCCTTCGAGTCCATCGTGTCTCACAGATGGAGCCAGCGAGAGTGGCCAGAGGGTCAGAACCGCTCCTGTACCCTTCATTCACAGGGCAGCAGCGTGGCCCGAGGCCGCTGCACCTGGTGAGAGCCCAGGAGGCCTGGAGTGACTGTTGCTGGCTCCTTACTCTTTCATCACTGGGTCAGAGGTGGTGCCTGGAGCCCCCAGGGGGAAACGCTTCTGACACTCGGTGGCGCCTGCTTCCTAACTCCCCTGCTCCTGCTTGTGTGACTTGCTTATTTTGTGCTGTTCGTGAATTTTAAAGACTGTATTTTAGGAGCTGGGCTGTGCGTCCTTCCTAACATCCACAAGCCCTCGAGCTTGATCCCCGTACAGTACGCATGCTGTATATGAGAATAAACACACTTTTAAGTGGAATCGTGCTTCAGAAAAAGTTGTTGGTTTTCTTTCATACGGAACTGTAAACCCATGAGAGAAGCCGTGGCTGTTGGCTTCGTGTGCTGTCTCCAAGCCGGGTCCCCTCGTGGCACGGTACTGTTGCTCAGTACTCTGCTCCCCCGTGGGGTGCAGGGAAGGGCCGTGGTCCCCCGCATTGTGCTGATCGCAGTGCCCGGAAGGTGGGGCGGTGGGAGCGGCCATGGGCGGTCTGGGTGAGCCAGCTCAGGGTGACGCAGGGCTGCCCTGGCCCCGGGGAGCCCATCCTCCGGAGCGCTCGGTCAGGGCGCAGGTGTACAGGAACCGCTGACTCTTCCTAACAGAGTCAGCGGCCCCTTCAGTCTTTTAAACTTTCTTTCTCTTTTTTTTTCATAGAAAAAATCAGGCAGAGGTATGCGGACCTGCCCGGTGAGCTGCACATCATTGAGCTGGAGAAAGACAGGCAGGGGCTGGGCCTCAGCCTGGCGGGCAGCAAGGACCGGTCCCTCCTGAGCATCTTCGTGGTGGGGATCCATCCAGGAGGCCCCGCGGCTGCTGACGGGAGGATGCGCGTGGGAGACGAGCTGCTGGAGGTGAGCTCGCGCGTTGTTACGTTTCCTTCGCCCCTGTCACAGAGAGAACTGGAACCAGGTTGTCGGCTGCACTCAGGGGCTTGTATTTAATGCCATCCCTCCCAAAGGAGCAGAGCTGCATGTGGGTCTAACCTTGTGACTTTGTCAGGCTTCTCTTTGGGTTTGGCCTCTGTTGCTTGGCTTTGTAAAGAAGGCAGCAGAGCCAGCAGAACCCAAGGCTTGGGTCAGGAGTGGCCCAGCTCTGTCGCATCGAGCAGCGTTACAGCCTCGTGGGTGCCTGGCTCTGGAGAAGGCTGGAGCCCGAGGAAGCCAGGGCAGGGCCGGGTCCTCTGCTCGCCACTGTCTGAATGACAGCATCGACAACCTGACAGGCGGTTCTCCCTTCCCTGCACACGGGCAGGGCCCTACGCCCCGACCTCGGTCTGCTGTTCAGTGCTTATTCCTTCAACGGACACGTTTTGAGTGTCTGTTAGGACACGAAAGGGGATGAAGGCACCCAGTGCCTCCATTCAGGCTGCGCAGCCCGGCGGGAGAGAGCAGGCGAGAAAAAACCTTTACCCTGCGAAGTGGAAACCGGCTGGGAAAGCGGAAGCTGCCCAGCCCGGCACCCGTCTCTTCGCCGAGTTGCACCATGGTGTCTTCCAGCTCTGGTGAGCACTGTGCCCAGGGCTGGAAGAAGTGTGTGTGGGGACGTCCGGAAGATGCAGTCCAGAGACGGCGGCTCCCTGGCTTCGTGCTGTCCGATTCCTCCTGCTCAGCCTGCAGTGCTCGGTCACCATAGTGTAGCCAGAGCTGGGCCGCTGCTGCGGGAAGGGAGAAGTAGGGAGCCTTCCAGGCCTTCCCAGTGCACCACGCCAGCCTCACGGCTCCCCAAACACTGTGGCTCAGGGGCTTGTTTGGTTTTTGTAGTGAGGGTCTTGCTATGTTGCCCAGGCTGGTCTGGTCAAGAGCTCAAGTGATCCTCCTGCCTCAGCCTCCCAGGCCCAGGGACTGAAGGCTCCTGCCATGTACCCCACGTGGTGCAAGGATTCTTACGGAGGTCTTGCCTTGAAGGTGTGATGGACCAATAACTTAGGCTCCTGCGCCTCCCCTTCCCGGTGGAGGGGCAGGGGCTGAAAGTCCCCAGCCTTCAGCCATGGGCAGTCTTTCTGTGACCACCCTGACCCGACCCCCTTAGGGGTGCAGTCGGAGGGTTCTGCGAGGGTGAGCAGGGTGCGCATTCGGGCCTGACACACAGGAGAGGTGCGTGGCGTCCAGCCAGTCCCGGTGCACGGAGATCCCTGGATTCGCTCAGGCCCACCACGTCTGTCAGACCGTGCCGCGTTTCAGTCCTGCTGAATACCGACACCCTTGTCCGCGGAAGCCCCTGCACCCCGGGAAAACTCACCCAGGTCCCGGAGCGGCTGTGACATGGGCCTTTCCGGCCTTAAGTCAGGATGAGGGGGTTGAATGCAGGTGGGCACCAGAGAACCCTGCTGTCTCCAGGCCCCTCCTGCCCAGTGTGCAGTGCCAGGCTGAAGAAAAGCTCATGACAGAGTTAAAGAGAAAGCATGAAGACCCGAGCGGTCAGCTTCGCACACGAAATGTGGGCCTGGGCACCGCGGTGCTGGACGGAGGGGCTGGCTGAGCTGTCCCTGAGAAGCAGTGGCTCCGCGTCCAGTTTTCCCACGAAGGATTCAGGCTGAAGAGAGGTGCGGCAGCGGCTGGCACTGTTCCGGGAGTGCGTGACCTCCGAGTGCTCAGTTTGGGCGAGGAGCTCCTCCCAGCACCCAGCGTCGCTGCATCCTAAGGAAACCGGAAAGGAAAGGGCAGGGCCAGCGGGCGAATGCTGGCTTCTCTGACCCTCAAATCTGGGCTCCCGCCGAGGTCTGGGTGAATCGCTGCTCTGGAGGGCCGTGAGTGGATCTCAGCTCGCAGTTTCCGTGGCAGGCGTGGGTGAGGGCAGCTCACGCGGTGCCAGTGTAGCGCGTCAGCGATCGTTTCTCATGCTGACCACTGTACTCTCCAGAGGCCCCTGCAGTGCGTCTCGGGCCCCCACCTGCCTGGTGTGCGACAGACGAGAAAAAATACACTGCGAGACAGAACTTGAGAGAACGTGGGGGCCAGGACGAGCAATCCGGGCAGCCGACAGAGGCGCTGGCCAGTCCAGGCGCGGACTTTATCGGCGGTCAGCTGGGGTAAAGGAGGTCACTTGCGGTTTCTACGGAAATTAATGTAAACAAGGCGCATAAAGCACAGGACAACACATTCTCGAATTAGGAGCAGTACAGACAACATACATGTTTCTAATGAGGACACTGTGCTGGTCTGAGGGTCTTAGCCGTGGGAATGGAATGTGGTTCGAGTCCCTCTGAGCTCGGCACCGGTCTTCGGCCGGACTCTCCTCTACAAACAAGCTGGTGGTGGGATTGAGTCCTCCCTCACAGCCTGCTCTGGGCATCGTCAATATCAAGTCGGCTGCAGCATTCTGCTCACCTGCTTGGCATCAGTGCCAGTCTGAGTCCCTTCGAGAGTGCAGTTGGTGAACCACACCCATGTCTTAAGGAGCAGAGAAGAGGGTCATTTTTAGAAGAAAAATGGTCGCTTCTGAGCTTGCCCTTGCGTGGAGGATGCCGCTGCACGCGTGGCTGGGGATCTTCCCTCGGGCACCCTGCAGTTAGGGCTCTGGCCCCTCTGCAGAAGCCCTTGGGGAGCAGCCGCGTTGTCCTTCTCTTCCACTTCCTGCTGCGAAGCCCCTGAGCTTTACTTTTGCTGTTCTTCTTTCTGAGTGGCTCAACAGGGGAAGAGTCTGGATTTTTTCAGTCACACTTCACTGTCTTTAGTTCACTGAAGTATTTAGGACAGAAATCTGTGCTCCTGCTGGTGTTGTATAGAAGGCATGACAGCCCTTTGGTCCTTATCCCTGTGGCCTGGTTATTGCTCTGCCAGAGCTCTGTGCGGGTTTCTCCACCAGATTGTCTCAGACCCCTGGAGAGAAAACGCCTTGAAACCAGAGAGTAAAAGTGTGATGGAGAAATTCATCACCGAGGAGAAAGGTGAAAGAATAATGACAACTAGGGAGAAGCCGTGCAGTGCGGGAGGACAGTTGGCTTCCGTTTGCCCCAGCCTCACTGCTAAGCAGGAGGCGCCCCAGGCCAGGCCCTCTGTCCAGCCCACCATCCCCAAGACTGCTCACTGCATCCTGGTGACCCACACAGCCCAGGAAGAAGGACGCTGCGGGATCCCAGCCACACCACACAATTGATTCCCGTGTTTTGCTTTATTTGTGCAGTGGAAATTTCCACCCCACTCACAGGACAGTGGCCCCCTTGTCCATGAGGGATGCAGTCTGGGGCCTTCGTGGCTGCTGCAGGCCCCCGAGTGCTGAGCCCTGTGTATGCCGGGGCTTTTCCTTAGGTATACAGCGACAGTTGAATATGTAAATTAGGCACAATGAGATAACAGCGACAATAATGAAATAAAGCGGTCACACGATGTACTGTACGAGTTCTGTGACTGTCTCTCCGGGTGTCTCACTGTGATTTCACACTTTTGTGTAAAAGGTCTCTCATCTCTCCTGCATCCAAATATCCGGGGTCACGCTCAGGCCTCAGACTCGGTGTTAGGTACATGAGCTCACGTGGACGGAGTCCGGTCCACCCGATAGCAGATGGCTCTCAGTGAGTTCCTGGCGGGCACGGAGTGGACACGCTGGGCAGAGGGCTGAGTCCTGCTACTTGGAATGATGCCTCGTTTAAAACTTCTGGGTTTTGTATTTCTGGAATTTTCCACAAAATAGTCACATGCCAATGACCACAGGTCACTGAAACCTTGGACCACGAAACTGACTCAGGCTGTCTCTCCCACCGCCTGAGCGCTGACCCTGGGTGTCAGACTGCGGCCAGCCTGACAGGGGCAGGCTGTGCGGACGTATTTGACACGTGGAAGTGAGCGTGGCACTGTGGTGAGGCAGTTCTCCTGCTGTCTGCCTCTGCACTGTTCGAGAACGGACTGACAGTGGGTGCCGGGATGCTTTTGTGTGGTGGGCTGTGGGTGGTGATGGAGAGAGAGCTACCGGACCCCGTGACACCCATCCTGTGGCACACGGAGTGTTCTGACACAGGCCAGCCCGGCCGGCTGGAGCTTGGCTGGATCCTGGCTCGGCCACTGCCTGGCCTCGAACCCATTTGTGGTCACCAAGTCTGAGTCTTGCGTCCTCGTTGCCACGCACAGGAGCTCTGAGTCCCATGCCATCCAGCTGAGTGCATCGGGGTAGATGCTCCGTGAGCCGCACCTCAAACGCCAGCAGATGCTGCTGCTGTAACCCGGCCACGCCAGGCTGCGCCGCTCACGGATCAGTACCGATGAAGAGGAGAGGCGAGCTGGAGCTGGCAGGCGGGTAGGGTAGAGTCCCTCAGTGACGAGATGTGGCTCTACAGTGGACCCTTGACAAACTCATCCATCCCCAGGGCTGGCTGTAACTCAGGGTGGTCAGCGCAGGCTCAGGCCCCTCTGCACAGCCTTCAGTTGTCTCTCCTGCAGATGGGCCGAGCTCAGTGTCCTTAGAGAGACCGCGGCCCAGGATTTCTTCCCAGTGAGCCCCACACAGGAGAGGATGTGTCCTGTTCCTTCCAGAGCTCTTTAAGGCTTGGGCCAGGGATTTAGCTCAGTGGTTCCACTGCCTGCCTAGCAAGCACAAAGACCCAAGTTCAATCCCTGGTACCCCTCCCCCCAAAAAAACCTTGCTTTCAGAGCTCTTTAAGGCTTGAATCTGTATCTGACACCATTTGGAAGCAGAAGCAGCCAGCATTTGGGTTCTAACTCAAGACTTTGTTCATAAGTTAAAACAAAAATCCAGGCTGTTCCTATGTCAGGCTGGTCTTAACTCAAGGGTCTACTATATCTGTAAAAGGAGGCATAGAATGTTTTGAAAACAAGGGGAATCTAGTGACATGACTTGGGCTGCAGCTCTAATCAGGCAGCTGTTTGTATGGAGGATGCTGGGCGTCCTGGTCGGGGCC